TTTTTTCGACTGCATTAATGTACATTAAAACGTGTATAATAAAAATAATAATTTTTCACCACTGTTTATTACAAAATAAATCGCAGACAAATTCATTATTTAAATATTTTTCGCTGTTATTTATCATTTTGAAAATTTTTGTTTATGCTAAATTTAATATTACTCGTAGCTTTGGATAGATTTATATTAATTTTATAAAGACTACGCGAACAAGCTTGGGTTTTTTTTTTTATAGAAGAGGGAGCAAATGAGCATGCAGCTCACCCGATGCTAAGTGTCGACCGCTGCCCGTGAACAACTAATAAGCTTTTAATTTCGGGTTTTTGTTAGTTGTTTGCTCATTATTGTTTCATTAATTGCCTGACTCGTTAGTTTAGTGGTGGTAAGCGCAGTTTTCGATCATGAGGTAACCGGTTCGACATTAAGGGTTGAAAAATCAGTTTTTGGGTTTTTCTGTTACAAAATTTTCAACGGCAGCCCGGATTCAGGAAGTTAGCGGTGTTTCTACCCCGTACCTCGGAAACACACAAAACCGTTGCCCCTGCGCCGGATCTCTCTTTGGTCGTATCGGATTGCTGTCTAATGGAGGGATTAAAGAAGCCTTTTTTTGTACTAGGTGTGCAAATAAAGCATAAATAAATAAATATGGATTAATATGATTTTTATAAAGACTTCAGGAACAAAATTGGACTAATTTCGGGTCTGGACTTGACACTTTGGTCTTTTCCTCATTATATATATATATATATATATATATATATATATATATATATATAAACATGGTACTTATATTAAAAGAAATAACACTTAATTTCAAAAAATTCGGTTGGTACTTCATTTTTTGATTTTTGCTAGGAAAGTGCGAATAGCTCCGACAGCTTTGACTGCAAAGACTGAACCCAGTCGCATTAGGCGCCGGCCTACTGGCTACGTGCATGTCAGCGCGGACTCCGACACCGACGCGCGACGTCGCTCCGTTCTCGCACGTCTCTACGACGATGTCACGATCAAAGATGAACCTGGGCCCATTTTAAAAGATTATAAGTAACTTCTTTTCTGTAATTGTTAGACCATCTCATCATAAATTTAATAACAATCCGCACTGAAACGCTCTGGTTTTGTCACCGATACTCCGCTATATTGCTTAAAAAGACTAATACCTATGTACTCGTGGTAATTATGCCCAAGTAATTTTCCACATACACTTCCCTTAAAACTAACTTTAAGATACTCATAAAACAACAAATTTAGATCCCTTAGTTACAAAAATTTTAAAGTTAGTTTTTATCCAATTTTCATATTATAAAGAGGGTACTTGATATTTTTCGAGTAGGTACTTTATTGGCTCGATCTGTAACTACCCTAAATAGCTTAATGACTTTAAATTAAACATATTTTTTTATAGGATAGGGTGACAAACGAGCACGCAGTCCACCTGTACACACAAGTGGTTGATGTGGCCCATAGACATTTACCATCTATCGTTTATTACGAACCAAAATGCAGATGCGTTGTCAACCGTGAGGACTAAGACGAAATGCCTCGTTTCCAGTAAAAAGGGTCTTCGGTTCTCTACACTCACCATACGAAACACAGCAGCATTCGGCCTGGCCACGGGGATCGGCGGTGCGGACGGCGAAGCGACAGGCGGGGCGATAATTCGCGCGGCGCGATTTGAGGGCCACGGGAAGTCACGTTTGCCGCCGCGACCAGATAGGCCGAGAGTGAAATGTCTTCATAAAGTTATCTCGATATTGCTTAGAAAGTAATTGTTTTTTGATTCAAGATATAATATTTGGAAGAGATTGCGGAGTACATGATTTGAATAGGAATTGGGTTATAGATGGAGAATAGAATGCATCTAGAAAAAAAATTCGAGTAAGTACCAAAATGAGTGTCGAAACCTGCGATTATATTCTTGTTAATATTTAACCAGAATTAGAGATAAAAATCAATGCGGATAGAATTTTAAGTCGTTTTTATTGGCGCGGAATTTTTCGCGGCGAAAACAATTAAAATATTTTGTTCCCTATATTATTCGCCGGTTTTCACCGCGTCTGCCGCCAGACTCCGTGGCTTGCACCGTACTGATTCATACATTTGTTTCAGTCGCCCGCCGCGCCGCAAGTCGCCCGCGCGATTCGCACGGTAAATTTCGCCGGTCGCGTCGCCACTCGCCGATACGCGTGGCTTGCTCCATATATTTCTATACTTTTGTTCAATGCCGAGAAAAGTAATTTAATAATTATGTTATGGATCCATTCCATAGGGGCCTGCTTCTAAGCGTCGAAAAGGTTGTGCGAGATCCAACGCAACATTATCCTTCACATGCGAAGATGTTCGTGCAAAGTCTCGTAAACGCTTTCCAATCCAACCTGTAATTTTAGCTGAATCTCCAGACTCGACATATGTAATTGGCGTATCGTCGCGAATTATCCCTTCAATTAAGTTATTCACTGCTATTAAGTTTCCTTTCGCAGAAGCCATCCGAGGGCGACCACTTCTTTATTCATCTGTCAAATGTTGGACCGGGCCGTACCAGCGCTAGGTACCAAAGATTTGAAATCTTACACGGTGACTATAGAAAAGCCTATATATCATCATTTGAAGTCCATCGACCGATTTAGGCGACGAAGAAATTTTAAAGCACATTCTTAAACTCATAGTTTTACTTGTAGATAAATAATTGTTGTTTTTTCTTTCATAATAAAATAAAACTGGCCAGTGTCTCAAACGAAAAATCTTTCAGTAAACTTTCTGGGTGCCATGTCGTATTTAATATGTTTTTTATTATCGAGTAATAATTATTTATTGTTTGTAGACCGATGTCTGAAATGAGGCAAAAGAACATGTTCCTAACATTTTCAACTAATTTTGGACCTAGAAGCGATGAAAGCACACGAGAAAAACTCAATCGACCATCCTTAAAAATTGAAAAACCGTCCTTTGATCAGGTTATGAATATCCAACATGGCAAAAAACTAGAGCGCAAAGTATCTTCCGATTATGTTAAAACTATAGACCAAATTGAACAGCAGTTCGAGCAGTTCGAAAATTCTATTCGTAGTATAGAATTCGCAAAAAAAAGACCGGCGATGTCCGTATCGCAATATCATAAGAAAAATCAAATGCACCAAGAAAACATGGAAGAAACTTAGATCTTTTAAAACATACCTACGTATTTCTAATTTCAGTACTAATACCTAGTAGAAACAATAAATATGATTTTATTACTTGGTGAATGTTTTTTATGAAAACCAGACGTCTGAATAATCTGATGATCATCACAGCTCATGAACAAAACGTCTTGTTTGGTGTTTGAAACACTAATGTTTTTAAATTTCAGATAAAAGAATAAAAGTACAGTATAGAATTATATGCTACAGTTTGTTTATTGAACTATTTTGAAGACAAAACTAGTTTGTATTTCAGTTTTTTATTTACAGCTCCTTTTATTTAAACCGTTTCCTGCAAAAAGATACAAAAACTAAACAAAAGCTAGTTCTTGACTACCTACTATCCCACTTGATGGTAAGTGGTGATGCAGGAGTGTCGGATTGACCACGTACCAGTAATAAATAGTAGCAAGGCAGCCCCGCGTATCCAAACTCACCTATCACCGCCTAAGCGTAATTCTTTGAGTAAAACTTATTAAGACAAGATAAATTGAAATTACTTGATGTATAAAAACGTTAATCGTTACACCTTTTTTAGACCAAGACAATCCACGTCAGACAATCGGTAACCGGGACTATTTAGTTGGCGAAAATGAATCACGGAATTTCATCAACACGCCGACTGGCTCGCTTTTCATACTACTAATCATGCGGGGAGACCTGTTTACGATTTTGCCTTGGCATATGGTCTGACACAACTGATCACTTCACCCACACGGATTCCAGATGTGGGAATCATACGCCTTCCCTGTTGGACCTTCTGCTCACTTCCCATCCGGACAGCCATCAATAATGTCTCCGTCGATAATGTGTCGTCTTGGCTCTTCGGATCATTCACTGATCCGAAGTACAATGCCTATCACTTGCTCAATGCAGGCACTATCTGTAAGGCTGAAGCCGTATGTAGCACTGTAGGTTAGCGGATTAGGATGGGATGTGGTTTATTTACATCCTATCCATAGGAGCGGATTAGCTTCTCACAAGAAGATCCCAAAAAATTCGTTGCTGAGTATTTCGCCGATGTGGTACTTCAGGGGATACTTTACTACAGGGAACTTTTAATACCGTCATCTGTAGTGCCCATCGGCGGCAGAGCCCGGTTTTGGTTTTTGGCAAAATTGCGTCGCGGAAAAATCAGGAGTGTCACAAGGCCTGGGCTGATATATTCCGGTTCGTTCGTCCACCACTAGCACATTCAAAAGGAAGTATAACTCAGCCTCCAGGTCCTTCAAATGAGTTATCGCTAGGGCAAAGTCGGAGCACATTGGGAGAAATGGTGAGAAACTAGTTCGCCTACCTTCAGGAACTCGTGCGTTCTTATCCCTCACCAAGGCTGCCCAAGGGAATTTCTGTAGACCATCATTACCATCTTTGCGCAAGGAGGATAACTTGCTTGGCCACTCCAGAAATTAGAAAGCCGAACTTTTACGATTGCGTCCAACTCGACTATTCAACGACGGGGAGAACATACCGCCGACCATCCCACACTCCATGCCGGATGTGCTGTTTACGAAGCGCTCGGTGCGCAAAGAGCTAATGTTCTCGACGTCAACAAGTCGAGGGGGCCTGAAGGAATCCCCCAATTGTGCTGACAACGTGAGCTCCAAAGTTGGCAACGATTCTTACGCTTCTTTTTCGGTTCTATTACTCTTTAGGTGTCGTTCCAGGCTCATGGAAGTAGCTATAGTGCACCCGATCCTTAAAAAAGGTGACCGCTCAGACCTGTCCAACTACAGGCCTACCACTCTCACCCCCTTATTCTCCAAAATAATGAAATCCAATATTAGCTGCAAGCTCATGCAGTACCTTGAAGAGTTGAACCTAGAAGTCTACCTTTAGGAGTTTACCTTTAGGAGAGAGTTGATTAATGACCGTTAATACGGTTTCCGTCGAGGTCGTTCAGCTAGTGTTCCTTTTGGCTACCTGACTCACTGATGGGCTGAGTCAGTCGAGACTAAGGTGGAAGTCATGGTGGATGGTGGACTTAGCGAAGGCCATCGATCGGGTTTGGCAGAAAGCGCTTCTTTCGAAACTTCCCTCTTATGGGCTTCCCGAGAAATTATGCACTTGGGTAACCAGTTTTCTTACAGTATTAATTCGAAGGTGCATGCTCCGGCTTCAAGCCTGTAAATGCTGGTGGTCCTGGTGTGATTGACACTATGAAAACCGAATCTCTGGAAATTCAATATTGTTTAGAAACTGCTTTGCGGATTTACTGGCTCTCGTGATCAATACCTGCAGTGGATAATGTTCATTTTCGACATGGAACCGTATTAAAAACTAATTTAGGGAACACTATGAGTCAAGAACGCCTGAATTATTTCTCTGATAATATTGAATACCTATTACTACCAATGATTTGCTCAGAGAAATTGATACCGATAGTATTATTTCTAAATTTACCCATATTATGAAATCTATAAAAGTTACTTTGTAAAACGTTTAAAAAGTAATTAAAGAAACAGATAAATAAAATATACATAATTTAAAGCAGGTACACCGTTGTTACTATATAAGTTAAATAGCTGTTTCTAAAAATATAATAAACTTTATGATAAATATAAACTTTGAAATATGTGCTAAAAAGGTTTACAATTATTTGTGTAGTATCGTCAGTTTCCAATCGTTACTTGCTTATCAAAATCATTCTTAACTGCCCAGACAATCTCATCCCTTGCTTTCTGTACTTGTCAGAGTCCAACAGGGCCTATAGTAATCTACTGTACTATTAAACACCAACAAAGTTGTAATCTATAGATGGCAAATAAACGTATTGAGTATTGAATTGTTTTTTCGCTTTATACTTAAGGTATACATAGCAGATTAAGGGCCTCTATAATTTGCTACGGGCCCCGCGCTTGCTTAATCCGGCACTGGATGCAGCCGAAGATGAGACATAAGAAATGATAGAATTACATAGACCAGTTTGTCCAACAAATCAACAAAGACAGCATTTTTTATAGGATGGCGTGACAAACGAGCACACAGTCCATCTTATGGTAAGTGGTTGCTGTGGCTCTTACATCTATCCTTGATTACGAATCAAAATGCAAATGCGTAGTCACCCGTGAGGGCTAAGATGGAATGCCTCGTTTCCAGTGAAAAAGGGTCTCAGGTTCTCTACACTCACCATACGAAACACAGCAGCATTAAGCTAATATTTTATGCTGGTATTCTGTGAGAGTATGTTCCTTCCCCGGTCGAGCCAACCCATTCGTGCTACAACTATACTACTAATATAACTGCAGCATGGCTCTACCACGTACAAAAAAACATTATCATCATCATCATTATTACAGCCCTTCACAAGTACACTGCTGAACATAGGCCTCCCCCAAGGAATGCCACAAAGCACGGTCTTGAGCCACCTGCATCCATCGACTTCCTGCATGTCTTACCAGGTTGTCATTCCATCTAGTGGGAGGTCGCTACCGCACTTCGCCTACCGGTACCGGTACGAGGCTGCCACTCGAGAACCTTTTTTCTCATCGGTAGTCGGTTTTTTAAGCTATATGGCCGGCCCATTGGCACTTCAGCTTAAAAATCCGTTGGGATACTGGGATCCGTTGGGTCACTCTGGTTCTAGTGCGAATATCCTTATTTCTAAGTTTATCACGCAGAGAAACTCGGAGCATAGCCCTCTCCATAGTTCGCTGAGCGACCTTGAGCGTTGTCATACGGCCAGCAGTGAAGGATCACGTCTTAGTTTCATAAGTTATGACTGGCAACACGCACTGGTTGTACAGTCTCGTTTTCAGATTTTGAGATAGGTATAGCCGGCGAGAAGATGTGTCGCAATTTCCCATACGCTGCCCTGCCGAGTTGAAACCATCGATTGACCTCTTGGCCGAAGTTGGACTTACCTAGTCGGACTATTTGTCCCAGGTAAACATACTCGTCAACAACTTCGGGCTTAGTGCTCCCAACAATTACCGACATATGTGAGACATGGAGGTTACACATGATCTTTGTTTTGTTCATGTTCATCTCAAGACCTATCCATTGGGAGGCACTATTGAAGTCATTCAGCATAGTGCTTAAGTCCTCCAGCAGTTCTGCCATAAAGACTATATCGTCGGCAAATCGAAGGTGAGTGATTTAGTCACCACTAATGTTAATAACGTGACGTGAAGACAGCATATTAGTTAGTAAATAAAATGTGTTTAAGAACCGGCACACACCACGAAGAACGAGTGTAGGATGGAAAATTTGTATAGTGAATCTTATGAGTGAGGATTTTTTTTAATTCAAGGCGTAAAGTTCAATCTGTGTCAAATAGTATATAAATGACTACGTTTAGTTTCGTCTGAATCCATCTGAGTATAAACAGTTTCGAAGTCGCCCTTGCAATTTCGATTATGATACTGTAAGTGTCCGCTCGTCTGGATGACAAAAGATGGTACCTACTCCAGTGCTCGACACACTGTTCTAGAAAATCTTTTGAGGTACAGACAATCTTGTACAGCACCAGGACCCAATTTTATGTATGAGGCACCGAGTCGAATCTAGTCTATCAAGGCAGGAAAGAAGTTTCGTCGGTAGCGTTTAACAATCTTAGACATGACTTGTTTCTATTATTACGAGTATGAGTAGTTATTGGGCGTCACATTTGTACACGCAAGAACGCGCCACGCACGAGCCCGCGCAACTCGTTTTAACTGGCGTGGCGCAGCGCGTGCTTGCCCAATCTCCGAGCCACTGACTCAATGTATTTAGCGCAGCGCATCTGATGTCGTATGAGTCGAATTGCCATTGTCATGGAGCAATGCCACTGAAGAAGAAGGCATCGTTGTTGCTTTAGCCGCTTTTGTGGATATCATTTTTACTTAATAAAATTAACAAAAAGAAGAAGAAAAGGCATATCTATATAGACATGAGAGTACCTCAACTCAACGTCGGACGAGTTAAGACGAAATGAACGAGTTCAATCTTGTAAGCACACGCCGCGCCGCGCCTTTTAAGTAACCGATTTTAAGCGGATAGCACGCGCCGCGCCACCCACGCCCGCGCCACCCCGAACCAAGCCCTTCTCACGGCGCGTGGCGCGTGCGGGCGCGGCGCAGCGCGTGATAACACACGCAGTGAAAAGCCGCCATTAGAACAATGATACGTCGGTGCTGTTTTAGTTAACAACTTTTGATTATTAATGCGTTGTGATGTGAAGTCGTCCATAGTATGGTAGTTGCGTTGATGATTAAATACGGTTTATTTTAACTTGTAGATGATGTTAAATAAATAGTAGTGTGTTTTGATCATCTCACCATTTTGTGAGCCTCAATGGACGTATGCGACCACGTACGAGACGTCTGCTGGTATTTATGGAGGGATCTCAACGGACGGAATGTACAATTATAAATTAACTAGCTGTTCCCCGCGACTTGTGATGCTGCGTGCAATTTATGAACCCAAATTCTATTTTTAAAATAAAAGTAGTCTAAGTTAGGTACTCCTTATAACATCAGCTACCTGCCAGTGAAAGACCAAATCGGTCCCGCCATTCCCGAAACTAACCGGAACAAACAGACAGAAACTGACACAGACAAAACTGAAAATTGTATTTTTGTTATACGTTTATATGCATTTAGTAAAAAGTTTTTTTTTTTTTTATAGGAGACAAACTAAGAATTTTTTTATAGGCCGCAAATGAGCATACGGCTCACCTGATGGTAAGTGACTACCGTCGCCCATGAACAACTGCAACACCAAAGGATTGCTGTGCTTTGCCGGTGCTTTAGAAAGGAGTAAGGAGGCTCTTTTCTTGAAGGTCCCTAAGACATTTGGTCCGAAAAGTCGTCAGTCGTAAACTATTCCTAATAACTTCTAGTGAAATATACAGTGGTAGACCGCCAAGCTATCTGGATGATGGTGTGGATGGTATCGGAAGTTTTGCCGCGATATGCGTTCATGAAATTTGGTGGCTGGGATTAATCAGAACAATTCCATAGAGCACTACCCGTGGTAGATGCGAAAGAAAATGCAAAGGGATGCAACATCTCTTCGCAGCGTCAGTGTATTGAGCCGATCGTAACCTACTACGACTACCGCTCTGCGCTGGATGCAGTCAAGTGGATGGCACTGGCACTGGGGAGCCCCAGCCCAGAGATGGGAACAGTATTCCATGTGAGGCCGAAGCTGTGCCTTGTAAAGTTGCAGACAGTGTGCCGTCATGAAAACGCTCTGCTGAGTACGCCAAGCGTGTTAGAGGCCAATTTGGCCTTGTCTTCCAAGTGACCACAAAACTGCACGTCACTCGATACGTCGATGCCGAGGATTCCGATACTTGCTGAGGCAACAAGGGGAGTGCCTTGAAATTGAGGAGATACGACGAAGGGTTTTTTTAGCGGTAAACGCGCAAACTTGTGTATTTTGGGGATTAAACTGGACTAAATTTAGTCGCCCCTAGTCCGCGATTTTGTTCAACAAAGTTTCGATTTCAGACACAAGTTTGTCCCGATACTCAGCGAGGTTTTCCCGAGAAATATTGGCACGGCCGGTGTATAGAGCATCACCAGTGCTGTCGTCTGCATAGCAATGAATGCTACCGATTTGCAACATGTCATTGATATGCAGAAGAAACAGCGTTGGTGACAGCACGCAGCCTTGTGGAACAATAGCGTTAATGGGCTTTATACAGAGCATGCACCGTCTACTACGACCTTGATGCTCCTATGAACTTAGATGACTGGTATGATCTCACCTTTCTGATGGTGCAATCCGAAGGGGAGTATAGGATCTCTGTAACGGCACCAGATAGGACGATTGTTTGAACTCTTTTGAAAGGGCTCATAGAGACTTAAGTCACTGTTATGATCTCACCTTTCTGATCATGCAATCCAAAGGTGAGTATAGGAACTCAGTGACGGCACTATTTTTATATTTTCATTATTTTAAATTTATAGGAGTCTCGCGATTTTATCTGTGTCAATTCTAAACTAAAAATTAAAATTTATGTCCCCCATCCCCAAAGGGGGAAACCCCAAAAAAATAAAGAAAACTAAACCTATATGTAATAAGTAACTTAATACAATACGTAAAATTTATTATTTTATAAAACTCAGAATATTTGATTATCAAACAAATCAAATTATTTTATTTTATTAATTCTAGACTTTTTATTATTCTATCATTTTTGTACTTAACCTTACGTACGTACTTAATCTTACGCTGGGGCGACACGAAAGAGAACTGCCGTTAATTATCGCGTTGATGGACGTTGAATGTAGCTGTGGCCACGAAATAATAACGCGTTGAAGCGGCCACAGTACGTTTGTCTCATTGTGCACGATGAGTGCAACGGCGACTTCGACATATGATTATGATGGAGCGGAATAATAAAAAAGTTATTACGTTTCTTGAGACTCTGCAAACAGAGCTATGTTTGTAGGATCCGAGACTCAAAAGTTTTAAAAATCGTACATCGCAAAATGATGCTTTGTGACGAATTATCCAATTATTACCTTCTTTCAAAGAATTAGAAAGACGAAGGAAACCTAATGGGTTTTTATAGAACCGTTTCAAACAAATATAAGAAGGTTCTAACCCCAGAATACTAATCATCGCCTGAGAGGCCGCGCACGGTCAGTTTTTTTCCGTTATTTTAAAAACTCGCTCACGAATCAAGTTGTGTTATCGCGCCAATTCAGTATACCTCGCACCACGGTGGGAAGCAGTTACGATCTCTCCGTTATCAAAATATAAGCTATTGAATCGCCTGGCAGGCGATCATTATAACGGTAAGTTTATTTTTCGTTACTTATTTTGATTTTTGCTTTTTTTTAGTATTTAGCTTTCTTATAACTTAGAAAATGTTTATTTTCTTTTTAGATGAGTCTTAACGAATAACAAATAGTGGATCTTTTACAAAATGAGAACTCCGATACCGAAATCGAGGACAACTAGGAAGTCGATCCTTATGACTCTGACGATAGCGCAGATCCTTCTTTCGTGCCATTTCGACTGGAAGAAGACCTACAAAATATTTTGCCCCAAATATTTCAATACCATATCAAGCCATTAGCAATGCGTCAAATTCATTAAATCCTGCGTCACAAGAAGGACAAACAGCGGAAAATCTTATTATTTTGCCTTCTGCGTCGACTGTGAGAGGTAAGAACAATTATATTTGGTCTAGAGAAACATCAAGTAGGTCACGATCTATGAGAACCGCTGCCAGGAACGTAGTCCATATTTCTCCCGGCCCAAAGCTGGATAGTAGAGATGTCATTAGACCATTGAACTGCTTTGAAATTTTTTTTACTTCAGATATGATGGATGAAATTTTCCTACGCACTAATGAAGATATTTTAGTCAAAGCCAGCAAATATAAACAACAAAGTTCGACCATATCACTGATAAGAATAGAAGAACTTCATACACTGCTTGGTCTTATAATTTTCAGCGGTGCTATGGGTAATAACGATTTACCGAACAGAGAGCTTTTTGATCCCACACTTTGTGGTTCAAAAGACATAGCTACAATGAGCTTGGAACGTTTCGAGTTTCTCTTACGCTGTCTTCATATTGATGACCGCAGCACCCGTGAAAACAGAAGACAGAATGACAAATTTGAACCCATCCGAAACATCTGGGAGATATTTATACAAAGATGTAGAGATCTTTACAAGCCATGCGCCTACATAAACATCGATGAACAGCTGCTTGCTTTCAGAGGTCGATGTCCATTCAGAATGTATATACCGAATAAACCAGCCAAGTACGGCATAAAGATAGTTTTAGCTTGTGATGTGAACAGTAAGTACATGTTTGATTCTTGTCCCTACTTAGGAAAAAACGCTGAAACTGCCCCGGCTGAACTTCTTGGTACTCATTACTGCAAACTGATTACAAAGACTATTTATGGGAGCAACCGTAACGTCACGGCAGACAATTGGTTCACATCGGTACCTCTAGCTGAGCAACTTCTGGAAGATCCGATCAATCTGATATTCACTGGAACAATAAAAGCCAATAAAAAAGAAATACCATCCGAGTTCAAACACAATCCATCACGTCGTGTCGGTACATCTATGTTTGGCTTTCACACTAAACTCACACTAGTTAGTTTCAAACCGGAATCCCAAAAAAATAGTTCTTCTGTTGTCTACTTTGCACAATGAACCGGTATTAGATTCCGTAACGAAAAGGCGCCTGCAATCATTTTGTCTTACAACAAAACTAAAGGCGCTGTAGATACATTCGATCAAATGTGTGGTCATTTGAGTTGTAATCGCAAAACAAGACGTAGGCCGCTGTGCCTATTCTATGGGATGATCAACATGGCTGTATTGAATAGGTACATATTGCATGTATCCAATACGAAGACTCGCGGGACTAAGCCAATGAACAGAAGAGAGTTCATGAAAGAACTGAGTACTGAGTTATGTCGACCGTGGTGTGAATTGAGAGGTGAGGAGCGACCGAAAATGAAGAAACTAGGTAGAGACGCTATACAAGAGGTTTTGGCTCCCGAAAATCATCCAACTTTGACTGAAACAGGTATAAAAAAGGCAACAGAAGTATGTGTAGTTATTTCCCAGCTAAAAAACGACGTATGACTGTTTATTACTGCGCTAAATGTAAGAAAAACTATTGCTTGGAACATCGATCTCCAAACTGCAGTTCCTGTGACAAAAAATGAAAGGTTGACTTCAAATTAGTCTATAGACAAAAATGTGGTGTTACCATAATTTTAATTTAGTGTTTTATAAAGTTTATATATTGGATAATAATATTGATGCCAAAAAGAGCAATAATTTTATAGTAATTTTTTTATCAGACTGATATAAGAGAGTTATGTTTAAAAAAAATGTTTGTTATTGTAAGATTTAAGTCTTATTTTAACGCCAACTTTGACGCCGTTCAATGGCGTTGAAATTTACTGACGTTGAGTCACTTTAAATTTAACGTGATAAAGTGAGTACTTCATCGCGTTAAATTTAAAACAATAATTGCTGCGTTTATGGACATTGACGTTTCCCGTTAGTGTAACCCCAGCATTAGCGCGTTCGCTCGATGACGCAGCCACAGAGTAAGTACCAGAGGGGAAGCTTCCTAACAACGTCGAAAATGTATACCTACGAGTATTTTAATAGAGTTGTCATGTCACCTGATGAATGTGAAAAATTTAAGGAAAAAATGACAATATTATAGTATAAAACAAGACGTGGTTTCATTGTAACTTAAATTAATAAAATAACATGTATATTTATTGTAACTTAAATTTAAGGAAAATAATTATTATATTATGTATATTAAAAATAAATAAATGTATATTTTGTTAATTTTCATACATAGTATTATGTCCTATGGAATTTTGCTGTAGGGTAAAGCGGCGAATTGAGAAAATACGTGCAATTTATTTTTGGACCCTTCGAGGGAGTTTTAAGGAAATAGGTATTCTCACAGAAGCTTCATAATAGTGGGCAGTGGCGATGGTCGTGGTGTTGACGGCGATAGTGGTGGTGGTAATGACTGTGGTGATGATGATTGTCGTGTTAGTGGTTTTAGTGGCGAAGGTGTTGGTGGTGGTCCACTACCCACCACCACCAACGATACTACAAGCATCACCACCAACACCAGCACAACTACCGCCAACACAAGCACCACTACCACTAACACCACCTTCACCACTTTCTGGCAATTATATTATTTTCATCAACATCAATCACGAAATATTGTTCTTTCATTTATTTAAATGCGCACGATTAAAAGCCCTTTCATTTATACTCTGACTGAGCCGGCGCAAACCAGTTTGTACCCCGACGGAGCGCCGGTGAACCTGTCGGTGAGAGCTCACACACACATTGCTGCACTATGTATGGGTATAGTCGCAGCGAGCTGTTTGTATGTAGCTTCCCTCCAGGTCGGTTTATTTATTCACGTGTATGGTGTAGTGTAGAAATAAGGAGTGCAGACTGTGTATTAAAAAATGTCCATAGAAAACCGTTAAATAAGAGTGGCGCCACTATAACTAAGGGGTAAATTTTAAAGAACGCATCGAAAAATATTAGTGGGATAGACGACTTTTTTGAGGTTATATTTACTAAATGAAATTATTTAAGATTTCAGAGCTACTGAGCAGTTTAGCAGCACACTTAAACCGTCGACAACTGCTAAGTTTATTTCATCCCAGTAGCTACTCCAGCGCTGTTGTGGAGAGTTTTTGAACTGTTATTTACTGCTTACAGATGGCCACTTTTTCAACTATTCTACTATGGGAGTTGGTACTCCTCACTTCTACACTCCATACTCACGTGGCCGTATAGTACTATTATTTATTCTGTGGTCATACGATGGTCGCGCTGGCTAAGCGTTGAAATATAGATATCGACTGTCGATATTTTTTCAACAAAAAGTTTTAACTTTTTATTTTTTTCGTAAATCATTTAATCTACTACTACCCAATGTACTCTACTTTAGTTATATACACCATATTATGCTTTTAATTTTCCCCCAGTTTATTTATTTGCTTATTATCTTAACACGCTCATGCGAATAGTTGAATATTGTAGCTCTGTGCGATATTGCTCTTCATTTTTTTTCATCAAAAAATCTGACAATATTTGTTGGCGACGCGCCTATAAGAATATTTCAGTTTATTAAGTCAACCGATGACGAATAGCTTCTAAAAGGCAAATTGTCCAATAGCAATGTTCTAATAAGAAAATGTTTAGTTAAATCTTAAAGAATGTCGAATTAATGATATGAAGGTCTTGGGTTCGACTCCCAGGCCGGACTAGTTTATTGTTTTCTTAAGTAATATCTCTTAATAAATTCATATAGGGAATTTTAAGATATAAATTATGCTACCGGATTTGTTCCCCGGTTGAAATCATCTTTCCAATGATGTAAATTCAAAGGAATACTTAAAGTGAAGTTAGAGATCGGAATTGTTCCCCGGTCGAGATGATCACTCTGTGCATAAATAGAATTAACGGAAATTAATTGCATAAGTATTGCCTTATATGAGTTTGATATGTTTTGTATGAAAATAAATGCCTATTTGCTATGATTGATTTATGAGAACATTCACTTATATTGTTATCTGATAAGAAACATGATAACTGATAAGAATCTGATTAGAAATAGTTTCCTACATTTTGAAAATTGTGTAGAAGCATTTATTCACCTAATACTGTCGATATTGGTGTATATTAGACTTTTCATTTTTTCTGATAGTCGAGAGCCGTGCAAAGTTAGTTGTTCAAATAGTGTGAGTTCACGGACGCGCTAAGCCACGCCCTTAGGAGGCCAAATATGTAAAAATTTAAATATTTGTAATTTCAGCAATTTATGTAAAAATGACTTGTGAAACATTTCAGATTGATTGTACGTGCAAAAGAGGTGAATTCTGTGTTATTTTTATGTGAAAATTCCTGTGTATAAGTGAAATAATGATAGTTTTGTATAAGAAATTTAAAAGTGTTTTAAGAGTGAAATGAATAGAGAAAATGTAAATTAAACTGTTGTATTGGTTAACTTATGTATAATTTCAAGTGGAAAACATTGTTTTAACTTTCTATGTTAAATATTTAAGAAATTTCGACTTTGAACTTGTGAGTAAAATAGGCATATTTTGTTAAATAAATAATAGGTTTTTTGTGATATGAAAATGTAATGTATATCGTAGTGTAGATATTGTTTTGTGCTATCTATACAGGTAAATTATGTTGATGTATGACTTATGCAAATAAAGTAATTAAGTAAAACGTGAGAGAGTAATAGAACAAATTCATGTAATTGAGTTGCGCAATCGCTCGAATGGCGCGGCTCACTTTCGCGTATAGCTCTGGGGTAGCTCAGTAAATGAGTTTTATTGCAATTCGTTCGGGAAAAAAGTTCGGGAATCCTTCGGGAAAGTTCGGGAAAAAAGTTCGGGAATCTTTCGGGAAATATTCGAGAAATAAGTACGAAAATCCTTCGGGAAAAGTGCAAGACCAGCAGTCAATAAGAAGAAAGAAAAAGTGTAGGGAAGTGATAGGGAAAAGTAATTACTCTCTCACGGAACGGTTTGAAGATAATTGCTGTTTTATTCCCAAGGAATTCGTCCCTCAAAATTATACAGTCCACATCGAAGAATTAAGGCGTTGGGACCCGGACGACTTCGGACTTCGGAAGACCCGTAATCCCCGTCTGAACCTATTTGCTGAAAAGGAAGAGGTTATCGCCCTTGTGTGTTACTCCGCAAGCGGAGATCACATACGTTGTTCCCGAACCCAACGTAGGCGTTATAGGAGGCCGGATCGAGAGAAGCCTCGATTCCTCCCTTCTGTTTCTTAATCCCCCCGCTGGTTCCTTTTCAATTGGACCTTCGGAGCCGGATTAAGACCACCGAAGCCCGCTGGTTTCTTTTCAATTGGTCCTTCGCAGCCAGGATCAAGGAACCAGCTGTGGATTGCTGGTTGTGGAGAGAGAAGACCTTCGGAGCCGAGTGAAGATCAGCAATCGAAGGAAGCCGGAGGTTTGAGCTGAAGCAATAGGACCAAAGGCCAGAAGACCAGGTCAGCGCAGAAAGACTGGACCTGGAACTACCGGAAGAAAGAAAACCGGGATTGCGGCTTGGGGCGTGTGCTCGCATGGGGCACGTATCGCAGCCAGGCGCAAGTGCCTTGTGAAGGCGCTCATCGTGGCCAAGCAGGGCTTGGCATTTTTCCTGTCGGGCAAGCGTGCTCGGCATTTCCTGTCGGACGACCGTGTCTGGCATTTCCTGTCGGACGACCGTGTCCGGCATTTCCTGTCGGGTCATCAGAGGGTGCAAGAAGAAGCATCCACCGCTGCTGCTGCCAGGCGAGGGTGCGCGTGGGCACCTGACTGCATCGCGGCCGGAGGAGGGCGCCTTGGACGAGGCGTCACCGGCGACTGGGCGGCGAGCACAGCATACATCCCGACCTAACGGTGCCAAACGGTCGGGCTCTGGCACAACACCTTCGGGTGGAGCAGTTCTCTCGAGCGAGACTGCGCTTGCACTACCGCTCGACTGTTTCGTCATATTCCTTGGCGGGACAGTTCCTAAACCTTTCCTCCATTCCATTCCTGCACGACTCCATCCCTGGACGGCTCACCTCTGTAGGCCCCGTTCAGGATTGATAGGGCTGTTAGGGTGGTAGTAAGGTTGTAG